TGATGTTGAATTCTTCTGGTCTTCCAAACTTCATGTCTCCCAAATGATATCTGGTTTCCAGTTCTTCCAGTCAGTCATGGCTTTCTCTCTCTCATTAGTTAGCTCTTGCCCATTTGGATGAATAATCTCATTTCATTTTAGATAGTGGAGCAGTCTGTTATATAAAAACATGCCCCTTGTTCATAGTGTGGTGCGATTTTTATATTAGTTTACAAGCTATATAGTCCTATCTTGGGAGGGAATAAAAACACCCAGAAAAACAGTTTTTAATCCTTCCATGAGGCAATTTGGAGAAGTTGTATTATTTTATAATAATTCTTAAAAATTAGAACTTATCATATAAAATTAAATAAAATATAAAACTTCTGTAATTTATTATCAGGATTTGACAATAATGAGCTGTATGTAATATTGAATTTTCCACACATGTGTTTTACACTTTTTCATGTAAAAGAAGTTTTGTATATAACATTAATACAGTGAATAACACATTTRCTATTCAAGTCGTAGAAAGGGGAAGACTGAAGTGGAAGGTAAAGAGATATTATTAATAGAGCAGAGTTATTTTGGAGCATAAAACAAGCAAATGATGAAACCCAAAGAAGAAGTTTTATGGCGAGTAGTTATATCCCAAGTACCATTTTAAAAGGTACATTAAATTTTCTACAGTACCATATAAATCAAATGTCGGTATTTACACCTTTATTGAAGCTTTTTATTTTGGGGGGTACAAATAAAAAATATCAATGACAGACAGAAAAAAATTTGGAATTCTTTATGAGGATGAAAAATCCAGGAATATTTTTAATTGTACCATATTAATTTGAAATACTGAATTATGCAGTTATTTTGCCAATTTGAATCTCTCTGCACATTATTTTGCATGTGGTATTAAATGCCAATAGACATTTTGCTGTCACTTTCTGAAATGTTTGCCTGCAAGAATTTAGATAGATACAAAAGATAATGAAGGGTGGGAATTATGGTTACTGACATTAATTCCAAAGCATTTCTGTTCCGTTACCATTAGCCTCTAGGAGTTGAACTGTGAGCCAATTAGATATACAAGCTAAAACTAAAGCCCTGACCATCAACTTTGAAAGGTTTGGCAGGCTTTGTTTAGATAGGGGAGTGAGACAGTGTGGATACTCTAACACACAATTCTCTCTGTTGCTGTAAAAAAAAACTCAATGTGTATGCTGTACCAAGATGGAGTTGTTGGAAAAATCTTTGTCAATTAGACCAGTTGTTTTCCATTTTATTTTAATTTACCAATAGTTAATCATGAAATTATTAGCAGCACATTTTCCAAGGTAAGAAAGAAATTATGGACCAAATGGGAAGACAAACTGATTGCCTTTTGTAATGACTTTGCAACCACTAGATTATGACTATAACCAGCCTCCCTCTGTCTCCCACCATTTCCTTTAATTTTTATTCTAGTCTCCAAGAAGCAATAACATCAACATTTTTACACAGTAGAATTCTATCACTTAAATACAGGATTTCATTTAAAATGTTTTATTATCTAAATTAGGAAAATCCAGACTCATTATTTTTCAGTGTTAAAGTTTTCTCCAAAGAAAATGAGGAATACAATTACCTAATGGAATGGTACATGTAAAGTGATTATCACGGTGTCTGGCATATATTTAAGACCCAATGAAGTTAGCAGGCATTATTATTGTTTTTACCTTTTCATGGTTATTTTAATCATCATTATTTTGTGCTCACTGTGAATGTATTGAAGAAACTGCATACTGAAAAGGATGCATTAGGATTTTAATTCTATGGTTTGTACATTGGTTTCTTATCAGGTTAACTGAGGATGACACTATTATAAATTTAGATTGAGTCCTATGTAAAATTGTGATRTACATGATATTTTTACTTTTAAAAGGTTTATATCTTCTTCTTTTAAAAAAATTCTTCTTAATAWTTTTTTGGTTGTAGATGGACACAATGTCTTTACTTTTATTTATTTATTCTTATGTGGTGCTAAGGATCAAATGCAGGGCCTCACGCATGGGAGGCAAGCGCTCTACCACTGAGCTACAACCCCATTCCTGTTTGTATCTTCTTATGTAAAGTCTATGAAGTCTTCTGTCTCTCCAAACAGGTATGTCTGATTGGGAAATTTAACAGGTTCATTTACTCAATTCATGGTCCATTCAACCTCAATTCTTTGTATTTCTTTTTATCATTTCTTAGCCCTAGTTTCTTATTCTGCTGTGTTAGGGTCCTGTTCTCTGTTGTACAAGGAGTCTGAGAGATATCGGAGCAATCTAATAGTGCATGATTATTAAAACTTGATAATAGGTTAATCTACCTTTTGGTGTCGCCATTCACAGCTCTAAGAAAGCAATTAAACGGATTTAAACCATATTTTAAAATGTTTCACTGTCAATTAGAACCAAACCCAAGGATTCCTCTCTACTGCCTTGTATCCCTTGTCAAGAGGCTTACCTTTGTCACCAGAGTTGCTCCAAATCTCCCTCAGGATCTTTAGCAAATTCATTCAATACCCTCCTTCAACCATTCCCATGTTTTGGAATTGACATAAACCCCTCAAGCTCACCTTTGTGGTGAGTGCTCCTGATAAGAAAGAAACTTACCTTTCTTCTCAGATGTACTACATTGTTGCCTCATTCTTTCAGATATTTCAATAGAGCTTATGATGTTAGGATTCACAGAGGCATTGTTACTCCTGCAAAACTATTTTAACAGCTTTCTTCACTTTCTCTCACATTGCAGTAGGAATGGTGGAGTGGATACTTGGTAAAGGTTAGTTTTTGTTTTCATTTTTTTTTAAAAAAACATGTTCAAATCTTACAGGTAAAGCTTTGCCTCTCTTTATCTTTTTTTGTTTTGTTTTGTTTTTCCTTTCTTATTTTTCCTCCAAGATTTATTTGGTGGCTCCTCACCCCCATAATAATAGAACTATTGCCACCAGAAAGAGGATTTGAATAGCATGATGGAAAAAGTTGAGAAWACACTTTGAAGAACACTGTCCTCCTATAACATCTGTTGAAGAGATGTCTTCAAGAGACTGAGGCAGAAGACTGCCTGTCACTATGGTTGAAAGGACACTGCCTTGTAAGAGTGTGAGTAGCAGGATGAAGCAGAGAGGACTTTGAGCTATTTTCCTATATAATCCCTTGAGGAGGAGGTTTGGTCTGGTTTCTTTTTTCTTTTTCTTATTTTTTTTTTCTTAGTACCGGGGATTAAACTCAGGAACACTCGACCACTGAGGCACATCCCCAGCCATATTTTGTATTTTATTTAGAGACAAGGTTTCACTGAGTTGCTTAGCACCTCGCTTTTGCTGACGCTGGCTTTGAACTCTGGATCCTCCTGCCTTGGTCTCCGGGGCCTCTGGGATTACAGAYTTGTGCCACCGTGCCCGGCCTGGTCTGGTTTCTTAATCTCTGTTTCTCTAGCATCAACACAACATCTAGCCCATCTCAAGTATTCAATGAATGGAGTTTCATGTAGAATACACAGTGGATACCTAATGGATTTCCATGGAGAAACCAGAGTTAAAAATGGTGAGGGACAAGAGGCTCCTGCCAAAGAAATAATTAGTGTTGAGGAGAAAAGAGGGTAAAGGCCACGTGACAAACCAACCATTAGAAGCCATGGATCCCACTGTATTTCAAACAGTAAACCTTTGACAATAAAATAAGTTTTATAATTGTCTTAGGCTAACTTGTTCAAAAATTAACTCTTTGGAGAAAGTTTTACTGTCTCAAACACAATTAGACAAGGTAAAGTCAGTTTAAACCCTCATTTTTAAAATAACTAGGTGTGCCTACACAATTGTGTTGAAAATTCTGATATTTACACAGTGCAATAAACATTGTTGTATCTGTGTGTTAATAAAACAAGTACCCTAATAACATCCTACTCAAGAGGACATGATTTTTTTTTTTTCACAAGACTCTGTGGATCATCTATCTGACATCAAGAACCCTTTATATTCTTTTGAGAAATGTTGCTGKCATTGATTAATATCACTTCTGGAGGCTATTTCCAAGCCAATGTTGTAACTAAGTTGAAGGAGCAGGCAGGTATGTTGGACCTTTTTAATGCAGGATTGACACATCAATAAATCAAAGGCTGTAAAGGAAAATAGTTAACAAGAAAATACAGAAACTGTTCACTCAAAAAATCATACACAGCACTAGCTAAATCAGTTCCTATTAAATGATTTACTTTGTCTTTTTCCTCTTTTAATAATAAACACTTAACATTTTCTTGCTCTTTTTCTYCTCAGGGTATTAAAAAGATATCATCAGTATGTGCATATTATTAAAATGAATGTAAGCCTATGAATATATATTAATCATACATATGCATAGGCTTATATTCATTTTTTAGAATATATATACATTCAATATGCACACATATAGCTAGACAAATTTCTGTTTTCGTATATAGGAAAAAAATCCTTTGAGAACTTAWTGGAATTCTGATCAAAACTACTATCTCATAGGTTATATTTAGCTCTTTATTTATTTTCTTTCTTTATTTTTTTGGTAGCAGGAATTGAACCTAGGGGYGCTTAACCACTGAGCCATCCCCAGGCCCTTTGAATTTTTCATTTTGAGACAGGGTCTCCCTAAGTTGCTTAGGGYCTCAATAAATTACCTGAGGCTGGCCTTGAACTTGAGATTTTCATGCCTCAGCAACTGGGATAACAGGCGTGTGCCACCACGCCCATCTCAGAGTTTATTTTGCCCAATCCAAGTGGTAGTAATGAAGAAGTTTATAAGATTCAGAGACTGGCCTTACTTAAATGACCCTAATTTTTCTGTTAAAGTTTCTTCCTAAATTCCCACTGCTGATGTAAGGCTGCTGTGTCCACCGGTTCAGACTAGATTTAAGTATTGAGTTCTAGTCCATACGTGTCACAGGCTTCCCCCAGGTATGAGTGCAGCGCATCTTAGATTTTGGAAAGGAATGAAGTCTAAGGAAAAAGGGCAACAGTCAACCACATTGTCCTGTTCAAGCATGCACGTGTTTTATTTAAGTATTCTCCAAAGGTCTATTTTTTTCCAGCATAATGCAGGTATTATGCTATCCTTTGAAATAAGATATATGAACTTCAAACAAAATTGTCAAAACAATGACCTTAGTTACTCCATATGGTACACAGAAATAATTACATTTCACTTACAATACAGATGCACTTAACACAGTCATCAATAGTCACTCACCACCAACACAGTATATTTTTTAAATCACCTAAAACATCAAAAAGTTTTTTTCTTTTCCAAACATCTAAAGAAATTAATATTTTGGATAAGTGATAAATGAAAAGAGGAGGCAGAATTGTCAACTAAAATAACCTAACTGCCTTTTCCTTGATATAACACCAAGAACTTGAAAATAGAACTTCTTGTTGGGAATCAAAAGACATTAAGTATTCCTGATTGTAATTCCTTAGTCTAGTTTTTAAAAAGGTTCTCAATAAATGCCATCAAAGAAGTTTCACTATATATTTGCTCTAGAAGCATAAAGTGACAAGAGGCAGGTGTTAATATAATTGTTAATATTCACGCTGCTGGAAGATTAGTAGCTTTTTAAAAGACATACTAGRAATAAAGCCAGTTCTTCCCAAGAGACAGTAGTTTATCTTACTTTCACTCAGCAAATGTTTATTAAGAGCTACTGTGTGCACAGCACGGTTCTAGAAGCTATTCTAGAAATGGGAAGCAAGAATTTCTGACTTTACCCGAAAATGGTTGGATTAATTAATTTTTATAAGTTATGATAAGCATTTGAAGATCTCTATAATAGAGGGATAATTATTAACTCTTTCCATATATAGAAACTAAGCTTTATTCCTTACAGTGGTGGCTCGGAATGAACAAAACTTTATTTGACATAAAACTTTTTTACACTGTCACGTGCAGACACGTCTGCTGATGTATTTTAAGGGTGTAAAGGTATAAAGACTTTTCACTTAAATGTACACAGAAATCAATCTTGCATCATCAAGCTCCTGTCCTCCCAATTTTGTGGAGAACGCTGCACCTTGCCAAACACAGGACCTTTCTGAGATAAATTGGTGCCGCCTTCATGAATGGCATTGGCCGCATGTTTTCATCAAATACTGCGACATGAAGCACTCCCGTTTATCTCTGCATTCCAATTCAAATTAGGTATTCTCAACATGTATTCAAGATCTAAAGCAAAATAAATAATACATCAAGTAAGATTCTGAGATCGTCGATCCTGTGATATTAGTCCCAGTCAACTCTTCAGGAAACACATCCCAATATATCTAGTATCTGGGCTTTTCCATAAACAGCAAAGACATTAGAGATAATTCATAGATGTCAACTCCTTTTCTCTAGTTTTTGACAAGGGGATTGATGACAATCTACTTACAAGATAATTTATTGGGGAATACAAAAGTAGGAAAGTCACTTGAACTACAGTAAACGCTAGTTTCTCTGATGATAATGAACCCAATACAAAGGTACCCTAGAAATACAGAATGCACTGGGTCACAGCAATACAGTGGACCAAAGAATACTACTGAAAAACATTGATGACACAGTAGTTTTTGGATCAAAAAGTCACCTAAACCTTGCAACACCAGAAGTTTTTCTATGGATGTGGCTCTTACTGTACCTRTAATCTGGAAAGTACAACCACCAAAAAATCCTGATTCCTGATACAACATGTGTGCAGTGAATTATTGCAGTTGTAACAGTAACTAGGTGCAAGGCTAAACAATAATACTGAACTATCTGAACACTTCAGATTTACTAATGAGCATCCCCATGAGAAATACTGCAGTTCTAAAAGGAGTTTATTTGCACAGCCCACCATGGAACAATCAGCTTGTTGTAAGTGCACAGAAATTTCCCCTTTCTACAATTATAGTTTATCATGCCTATTCTGAAGACAACATAAGGAAACTGAGATCACTGCTCCAAAGAATTCTAGCATGCATTATGATGGTTTCCTTCAGTCAATACAAATGTGTTGTATGAGTTTTTCCCATATATAATAATCTTCATCATAGCCAATGTTCATGGTTTTAACAGGAAAAATTTTTATCAAAATGTTTTTCCATATTTTTTTTTTGTTTTGCATTCAACTGGAACATTTTGTTCAAAGATTTATTTTATTTGTTTTATTAAAAAAGAGTTCTGATCATAAGAAGCATCAATAGGCGGCATTTCATTGTGCTCATTCACAAAGTCAAAGGGCCACAGAATATTCCTCTGTATAACAGGTCAAACTCTGTCTAGAAATGCCATTGGTGGTTTTATTCACATCCTCGAGTTTGGAAGATTTATTTTTGTTTCACTATCAGCCTTCTTGTTTTGCTGTCTTAATCTGCAAAACGTTTATTTATTTTTTTTCTTCTTTCTTCTACATTGAGATTCTTTCCACAGCCAGGGCTCAAATTCTCTTAAACCTAATCCAATTGTCTTACAAGGCAGACACCCTGACAATATTTCCTCCTGAGTACTCGGGAGACTCTGGCCTGTCATCTCCTTCTGGTGTGGTTACTGGAGGTGTTGGGATGCTTATTATTGCTGTAGTCACATAAGGTTGTTCACAGTTTAGTTTAACACACTCTTCCATTTTGGCATTTAAGCTGGATCGGCTGATGAGGAAAAAAAATAGATTTAAGAAAAGAAGATATTTATTTAAATTTTTTTCATGAAGCTGAAAAATGTACATTTTAATGCTTGTAAGTAACATTTTAAATGTTCAGGAAAATTATCACGTAAAAATGAAACATCAAAACTTAATATGAAACATCAAAACTTAATATATATTATCTTGAACATTAACCAGTTGATTAACATTAAAGACAATTCTTAAAGCCAGCTCAACTGTTTCTCAAACAAACTGCATTATAAATGTAAGAAAGAAAAAGGACCAGGTAAGATCTGGACAGCCCGAACTGAGCAAAGTAAAATAACTTTAAGATAGAAACTCAAAATTTGATATGCCATGTGATTTCTCAATTCCTTTGTCCACAAAATCCTTTCATTATTGTGTCTTTTTGAAGTATGTAATGCAAATAAACCCTCAATTTAGTGATGATCACATCTTAAGAAGCCAAAAAAAGGTAGCTGTTCCCATCTAGCAMTTGAAGGTTTTCTCAAAAGATATTCTTAACAAATATGTTATACTCTTTGGGAGAAGCAGAAGGAGAAGGATCAAGAAGGGTATAAACAGGAATTAAAACTATTTTCATGGAAAATGAATAAAATGTTTATGTCATAATATTTGATTCCTAAAACTGTCACCATTTTCTACTTTGTTTTATGATGGATGTAAAATATCTTAAAGATAAAAATTCTTCATTGTCCTAAATTTTAACATTGTGGTCCAATTTTCATAAATCAACATAGTCTGAATCAGAATCTCATCTTGGTTTTCAACATAGCTTCTTAAATGCTAACAAAGAAGCAAGACTGAACTTATAGAGGGTCACTCTAAGAATATATGCTCTTCAAATAAAAGAATGAAGTAAAAAACATTTTGGCAGAAGTTGATCTTTTTAATGTGTAATTTAAATGTATTATTTTTATTAGACATTTATGGTAAAAAAAATAGTAAATAATGAAAAGTAAAGTGTAAAAGTTTCACATAAATTTTACATAAATTAACTGGTAAACAATTTTAGAATTTAACTTATCTTTTTGATATTGGATTGATTTTTGTATTTGATGTAGCCAAAAAATATCTTTTGGATCAAAAGTATAGGTTAATAAAAGAGATTTGTGTAGGTATAGTTTTAATTTTCACTGTTATATTGAACAAATATATTTTAGGTACTATTGAATAACTTTCACTCATATCGATGTSAGTTTCACTTGTCTTTTTAGTAGTTTTGATTGTCATTTCAGGCTCTTTGAGTCTACATCTGGGGCTCCTGGGTATAGAGGTCCTTGCTCAAACAAACAAAAAATTGTAGAGTTGAAGCAATAAAAAACATTGTTAGTYATCTTCTTCCTGTTGTTAATACTGACAAAAATAATTACTACTTTTGACCCCAAGGGATATGCCAGTGGACTCCTTCTCCTACTTGCTGCACAGTTTTGTCCCTTTCTCAGCCCTAGGAGCTAGGACTTCCCTGCTCATAGGTGGCAATGTGACAGCAGGGACAGAGCCTGTGAACCAGTAGGTTCATCCAGGTACCTGTTAGATAGAGGAGTTCTCTCCACACACCGGATTTGAATGGTGCTGAGTTCCTGCACGCTGCCTCGATGACTCCCAGATACGTTGGCATTTGGGATGCGGAAAGTTTTTTTGTGTCGGCGTGAACAGCAAGTGCTGGTGACTCCTTGTTGTGAAGAGAGAGAGGGGCTGTGACTTGAAGGACGGTTGACGGTGGCAACTTCCATGCAACTTTCTTCAAAGACTTGTTCATCCACGAATTCATGATTCTATTTCAGAGAAGCACATTTGAAATTAAAATAAACAAAATGTATAGCTTTCTTTTACTAACACCATTTTCCAGAAGATTAGAACCACTTTTCTTTGACATTTGTGTGGAAATAAAATCTCTCTAGTTAGACTGAGTGATTGACGTGTGCCGGTGGATTCAGTGTCCATTGACAAATTAATTTCATCTTACAATATAAATTTATGAATTTAAGCATAAAATCAGGAAGTCAGAAATTAGAAGGGAAAAAACCCTTGAAATGAATATAGAGAATATCTACAGGAAATTTAAAAATTTACATTGACTTTATTTTTTAAACAAATTGAAATCATGAAAAGAGGTTATTTTATAGAACACCACGAGTAATACTGTTAAATAGTAGCAAATACCTTCACATGGGATTGAAAAAAATTTTCATCTGAAAATAAGATATTGAAGACACTTCTGATTTCTTTAGAAGCTTCCCTAAAATTTCTGGTATATAAGAAAATATAACTTATTGGCTAAGAAAATAAAATGTTTATCTGTAAAATGGGTCACTGTGCTTGACWCAGAAGGAATGAGCACTGAACTTTCATGGCCTCTTTTCTTTGTGATATATCACAGGGAGAACTCATGACTTCAGTCTGTGTTCAGGGTGTGTTTTGTGTGTGTGTGTGCACATGTGTGTGTGTAGTGCTGGGGATTGAACCTTGGTAGAGAACATTGCTCTACCACTCATTTACATTCCAGCCTTCTTATTTTTTATTTTGAGACAGGTTCTTGCTAAATTGCCCATGCTGGGGTCTCCAACTTGAGATCCTCCTGCGTCAGCCTTGGGATAAGCTGAGATTGCAGGCTTGCACCACACTGCCCCAGCTGTTCTCCACCCACTACCTTCTAGCCCACAGACAATCAGTAACGGGGCATCATTTCACACACCCTATTTTATAGATGCACAGTGTCAATTTTACTCTTAAAATGTTTAGTAAAGAATTGCCTCCTAAAATGCCTATGCAAGAATTTTTACCTCAGAAATAGAAGGGAAACATTTTGGTCTGAATTGCTAGAGAATAACTTCAATTACTGTTTTTCCTTTGTGTGCACAGAAATGGCCTTCTAATGGAATACTTTGCACATACCGAATTTCACTTAACCATCTCTCATCCTAAAATATTAGTAAAACAATTGAAGCAATTCACTGGCTAATAGGAAATAGATTGTTTTAGTTACTCATTTTGTCATCTCTTTGCTGAGGAAAGCATTTTGAAACACATGAAATTTAACATTCTACTGTTTAGAGTCCAGAGAATAATTTGATTAGATAAGGCAAAATTTCATGTTAAATATTACATTTTAGAGAAAAAAAAGTGCACAAAAGATTCATCATCTGATTTCTTCTTTTACGATGCACATTTCACACACATAATGCAAGTTATCCTGCATGAGATTTTAATTTATCTCCTTAGCAATTAGAATTGAAGAAGTCATTCTGTTATTGGTTACCCTATATTTTTATAGGTGGTGTTAAAAGTAATTTTGGGTTTTAARAAAAGTAGTCTTCATTGGTAAAGTAATTGAAAAAAAGGAAATGAGGAAAAAGACAAAGGTAAATGCATTCTACCATTATCATTTAAGTTCATCCAAGTATCATTTGAGCTCCAAAGTATTATGCTTTGAAACTTAATACTAAGTAAGTACTAAGAAAGTACTAATAGGTTATAGACTTGTCCACATATTTGTTTAAAAATGCAAATATAATTATGTATTTATCCTGTTAAAAACACTTAACTGATTTCCATTTATCATGACACAAAAATCAAAATTGCTCACTTGACTCCAAAGACTGACATTATCCAGCCACTGTCTCTGCTTCCTCTTGGGCCATGCCACTTGCTCCKTTGAGTCACCCTCAAATTCTTTTGCCTCCCCTTAGGCCAAGTTCCTCTTTCTTCTTTTCCTTGCTTACCTCCTTCTCATCCTTCTGTTCTCAACTCAAGTTCTTTCCAGAAGCCTTGTCTGAGCCTGTCACCTAGGGGTTCCACCCTCTTTGCCCAACTCCAYTGTGGCCCTGTCAGTTCTCCCACTGCTCATACCTCTTCTCTAGTAACACCCATGGTTAATATTTTGTCCCATAAATGGAGACTCAACGAGGACAGAGGCCATACTAACTTCATGGTGTGTCTTGGATCTGGCTCACTATTAGCACATAGCAGGCAAATGATACATACTGGTTGCATGGTTACATAGGTAAATAAATTGATGTGAAATATATTGAAATTGAGAATACATATAATGTGTCTTTGGTGAGTAAAGAAGCTGACCTGATTCAATATGATGAAAAATTTTGTTCTGCTCTGTAATCACAAACTGTGATCCACATTGACTAGCTAACTAAGGAATGAACGTCTTTACTATGGAGAAGTCCCACTTAGTGCCTGTAAGTGAAGAAATGTAAACTTTTTCCTCAACACCCAGAGGTGTACCAGTGGTTAAATTTGTCATTTCTTTTGAATGCAAACTGATCATTTTTGCTATGTACCTCTATTTATTATATCTGTGAATTACTTGCTTCTATTCTGTTATTTTCTCTCTCTCTCTCTCTTTTTTTTTTTTTTTTTTTGCTATTGATATTCCCTTTACCAGATGTTTGGCACACTTGAAATATCATTTTCCCCTTTTTAATCAAAATTTTAAAAACAGATGAGACAGAATATTTTATTGGACTCTGTATTGGAAGACAGTTTTCTAACTACATTTAACTGATATCTTACGACTAGAGTTAAGATACTACTAAGTTAAGACAGAGGTTTCTTAAAATAATTTCCAACTCGAAATGTCATTATGATATTTCAAAGTAGTTTCAGATACTACAGGTTTTCTGTTTGTTTGGTTTTTATCATATTTTCCAGTAATGCAGAGTGTGAAATAATACGTGGAAATATTGTGTATGCACAAAGGCAAATGGGACTAGTGTCAGAGTGCAGAGGCAGGCCCTTGTGCTGTCTCCTTACCGTGGTTTTCTCCAGGCAGTGAAGCAGGTGGTGGTGCTGGGTTTCAAAGCTGGAGCCTGACTTGCTAATGAAGGCCTGTTCCTCCTCCGAGGACTGTGAACACAGAAGAAACAGAGGTGCTTCTATTTTATTTGCAAACAGCAAGAATCTCAACCACACAATTGCACAGAGATCTGGCCTATTTTCTGAGGCTCACCAGCAGCACTTTTTTTTTTTTAAACTAAAAACAGACAAATGTGCAGTTGCTTTTAAGTTGAATGATCAGCATACAAATTTTCATCAAATTAGAGGTCTGGTCTTTTAGACTATGCCTCCCTGAATTGAAAATTTAAATCTCTTTTACTCATTCAAGGACCAACTTTCTTTGAAAGCCTGAGCCATTTATCTTTAGATAATAAAATTTAACCTCGTACTTAGATAATCCTGAAACCATTATCGTGCACCTACATGAAAGATATTTTGTAAGAAAAGATGATGGAAATCCTAAATATTAAAGGAAAGTTTTGAAGTAAAAGTCTCTCATTCAGACTCTGTGACATTCCCAACACCGAATCAATGGTGTTCTCTCTTTATTAAGAAGTAAAACAAGATGGGGCATCACCTCTGCTTCCCCATTACCTGAACTTTAAGGAACATGAGCAATTTTTAAATAAAAAAAGAATTAGGCATTTGAATTATTGAGCATCTTCTGCCTCTCTGATGTTAATTAGAGATAGTGTAGAGACGCTGTCTGATTGCGAATTTAGGAATCATAACCCACTGGCAATACTCCATAGCACAGCTTCTAACCAGCTACAGACAACTGGAGTGTACCGGAGGAGATTATAAAAAAAATAACACTTTTGCTGTTTTGCTAGCCATTTTCATAATTATYCCCAATAAAATTATACGGTTAAGTAGAACTAAATTAGTATTACCCAATAAACTGATCACTAAAAAATGCAAAGAACTTGACTTTACCTGCAGCTGGTTRCTGAGTAAACCATTCCGTTTGCTCTGCATGTAGGCGCTGGCGCTTCCGCTTTTGGCTGCCCGGATCCTGGCCAGTCTAGCTTTCTACAGGACAAAAAAAAAAAAAAAATGAACATCCCATCAATACTTATGTGTGGTATTCTTCAAACAGTGAAGTCAGTCTTGCTTTATCCTACTGTCAGCATACATATTTTAAAAAGCAAGCCAACTTTTAACATGTAACTACTGACAAATATGCTCCTGTCCTCTTTTGAATGTTTTCTTTTAGTTAACATTTATTAGTAAGGCCAATTAACTACTTTAGAGCCGGGTTATGCATGCAGGAATTGAAATTAAGTCTTTACAGTAAGATGAAGTTATTTTATTACTGTTTCTCTCAATTGTGTCAAGAGAAAAATAGCAATATTACTTTACTTATATTTTCATTTATCCAAATCTGAGTAACTTAATGAAATGAAGACCAGTAGCCCAGTAAATCAGCTGCCATCTCCTTTTCATTTAAACTAATGTYCTTTATAAAATTAGTAACTAAGTTCTAAGAACCAATTCCTTTTTTCTATCCTTCCTTCTTTCCCTCCTTCCTTCTTTCCATTCTTAGAACCACTATTCAGCTGTATCTGTGTTCTCCAACTTAACTTTAATCTTTGAAATTATTCTGGTAAAGGAGAAAATGCGGGGCCCTTGCTGAATAAAATGGGCTCTCTTTAAAAAAAAAAAAAATCTCTGAATTTATCTACTTTGTTGGCAAGGTCCACACAACTGTATGCTCATCTGTTTTGTAKTTCACTCTTGAATTTGTTGAAATGAGGAACAGAGCAAGCCCATCCAAAGATATCTATAAAATCATTTAAAATTTTTTGAACATTTTTTTCTTCAATTAAGAGAATTTTTTTTTCTGGTGGTCACTTCAGTTGTTCACTGTTAGAGTGACATCACCAGAGTGGTGTTACTGAACACACTAGGTGGTCAGCTTGATTTCCTGTATGGCATTCTACTTTATGAGTGTGGAGATACACCCCTGATTAGACTGAGAGAAGATGCCTGCTTTGCACCCGCTGGGCAGCACTCCTTTGGTGTCCATTCTATTCTTGTGATGAATCTCTCTGCAAGTGTATGTAACATAGCAACTGGGGTGACTTGAAAAAGAAGTTTCTTATAAACTGACCCTAAGAAGACTCCTCTTCCCTTTCTAACCACCCCACACAGATGCTATCTTTAGTCTCAAGCCCTAGAATGTTCTTTTTAGTAAGGACTTCAAAGTTACTTAGATTTTTAAAGCAGAAAACAGATACATACATATCATAAAACTTTTAATCCTATAAAACGATATACAAGCAATCGAGTCTCTCYGATCCTGGAGCCATCTTCTTCCTATGCTTTGGAGTAAACAACGGGTAATCTTCTTAGGAAATCCTATCCAAAACTTTCTAAGCACATCAAAGCAAGCACATGTATACATATAGAATGGCATATATATCTTTACTCAGTTGGAACAACACTCCTCACACTGTTACACTTAGTTGTGTGTGTGTGTGTGTTTTTTTTTTACCATATCTTGGAAACTCTTACTTTTCATGGATGTGCCCTATGTGCCCTATCTGTATGAGTAAGGCATATTTATTTGGCCTGCCAACTACCAACTAAGTTTTTAAAGCATCTTTTTCTACTGCAAGTAATATTTCCTGCTTTTAACATTATTACCATGAGCTTTTCTGCAAGACAAACTTCTGAAAGCAATTATTCCTGCATCAAAGGATGTGTGTGTACATGTGATATTAACAGGTTTTACCAAATTTTCCTTCAATTAATAGGCTTTACCAAATTTCCCTTCAAAGTCGTTGTAACAAGATGCTCTTGCATCCACATCATTTGAGAGTCGCCCTGAGATGTTTGAAGCTCTCAAAGTAGCTTTAAGATAACTGTCGTGGCTTTAACTCCACATTCACCTCTGAATATAGTCTTTCCAGGCTCTGATTCCAGATTAAAATAGGTTGCAAGGAGTTCATATTTATAAGCATTGAGAAACAATGACAAATTTCCTCTCTTCATTGTCAATGTAATGCTTAGGTCACTCAAAGATTGGGGCAATACTGGAGAATGAAGTTGGAAAGTAGAAGAACTTTTCATCTTAAATGCTGGGCTGCAGGGCCAGAATTTCAGGCCTGACTCAACAAACAATGGAAAGTGATATAARCACTTTTGGAAAAGACTTGGAACTGACATAATAATTCAGAAACAAGCAGTTTATGTAATGGTTTCCAGAAAGGGCTTATTGTTGAAATTTTAGTTAGGTATCTTTGTTCTCCTGAAACATTTTTGCTTTTTAGGTTTCCTTCTCTCTTCTACCTGCTCTTTCCTTTCTCTTTCCTCTCCTTGGTTTCTTTGACTGCCAGCCTGCCTGCCTACCTCTCCATCTTCCTTCCTTCCTTCCTTCCTTCCTTCCTTCCTTCCTTCCTTCCTTCCTTCCTTCCTTCCTTCCCTCCTTCCTTCCTTCTCTTTAATTTGCAACTACTATATATAATATCACCTATATCATAGTTACCTATGTCATTCTTTCATTAATGAGACATGTACATTAACTAAAAATGTTACCCAGCAAAAGAAGATGTCATATATTTCTCTTCATACAGTGGCAAATCTGCATACAGTAGCCATCACTACTATAGAAATGGTTCTAACCTTAGAGAAAAATATGTTGTTTTAGAGACAGCATGGTCATTTTTGCTAGATTTATACAGTGCATTAGCAAAAGAATCTCTCATCTTTGTTCAGCCTCTTTTGTCTTACTTTGACACAATATTGTTTCATTGGTGGTACATGCCAAATATCTGTTGAATGTTTTCAAGACCCCTTTGAGGTCTTAAATTACTTTGGTTCCAGCAGGTAATTGAGGGAAATTATTTTATAAAAGTACTTTAGAAAATGATTTTATTTATGACCTCTGCAGTACGACAATCTTGGCAAGTCCAGTTTGTATAATTGAGAGGTTAAAAAAAAAAAAATCCTTCCAATCCTCTACCCTACCCTGGAAGGAAATGAGAACTTCTTGTCATGACAAATTGCCAGCAACAAAAATGGAAATCAGGGTGAAGTTTCAGTAAATAATTAACTGTGGTCGATTGGAAAGTAGAAGGTTTCCAAAGTGTTAATTAAAAATGGAGTTTGTATTGTCAGTTTTAGAATAAAAGCTTGGTGGTTATTTTTGAACTATTTATCTGCTTTAAGAAATACTGGTGGTGTTTGGGAAAAACTGTTCAWCTCCTAAGCACATTTCTCCCATTCATCCCAATTTCTCAGAAATTCAGTTTTGCCTAATCCTCTAATCTCAGCAGGATTTCTCAGTCAGTTGCAAGGAATGATAAGTGAAATGCATAAAATCCAAATGAACCAGATAAAGCAAATAACTGGTTCTGTGGCCAAGACAAGAYTGGGGAATGTTGAGATGTTAGGCAGGTTTTCCCAGCAGCTGGGTTCTTCACGACATATGTGAGGGTAAAAGGAGGACACAGTGTACAATTTTTCTTAAATTAATTTGACGTGGAACAGACTTCCATGCAGACAAAGCATTCAGAAACTAGTATGCAGGGYAACACAATGGATTTTTAGCAAGTAGATGATTCTTATTTATGACAAATAATACTATTTAAATTTATAATGTATTTTCTGGAATAGAGCCTGAGCACCAATCAGAGAAAGATCCCTAACAAAATACCTTTGAGTTAGCAATTCCCTTAAATGAACAGCCACCTTCTAAATAAGATGTGCTGCAGATTGAGGGATGYTTCTGGACCATCTTGTCATCAAATCACAAACTAGTCTCAATACTTTTGAAGAATTAAGATATCCCAGGCAGTTTAAGGGAAAAAAAACAGAAAATCTCTTTCCTTGGTAATCTCAGCCAATTACTTATTCCTCAGATATCAGTCCACATACTTCCCGTAACATGTGTCCTGGAAATTTCATGTTTGGTTGTTTGTTTCATTTATGGTTTAGTAAAAARCTTCATGTGGATTTAACATATTAAGCTTTCTCAGCTTTTAAAAATTTTAAGAGTTTATTGGAATCTTTCCATTTGYTAAGGAAAGTAGCTGCCCTAAAAATGAGACAAATTTTTAGTACCAAACAATAATAAAAAAGTGAGAGTGGAAGGAAGTCAGTGGAAGGCAGTAGAATGTTCCCTGCCTGGTGAATCCTGGGATGGCAGTGCTGGGCAGAAACAGTCAGGGAATTGGGTCAGCTGAAAAAATGACAGGATGGTAAGAGGACTCTGGGTAGGGAAAGGTGAGAACACCGAAAGAAGATGTAGAAGGGCATCAGAAGCAAAATAATGCTTTCTATTTATTTACTTTTTGTGCCAAGTATGGAACCCAGGACCTCTCACAGATACCAGTGC